AGAGAGTAAATGAAAGATAATTATCCAGGGAGGGTGAAGTGGGGGAAATAGGGTTATGTACATTAGCTGAAAGTCTTATCTACCATGATAGAAAGTCAGTAGATACTATCTAAAATTGATGAATCAAGAGATATTACTTAAAAATACAGAGAGAAGAAATGAGTTGGCAGTATGATCATATGAGAGGAGAAATGACAAATTAACTGTATTTTGTATGAAACTTTTGGCACTGTTTGGCTTACATTTGCATATAATACCATGATAAAATTTTTAAAATTTTTTTCAAAGAAGGCTTTACTAAACCTGCCCATGCCCCACCATGAGACCTCTGTGTAGTAACTGTATTAAGTAGATGCACCATGTCTGCCTCCCTTCCCTGACTGGAAGGACTAGCTTATTCCTCTCTGTATCCTTGGAGCCAAGCCCAGTGTCTAACACCTGCCAGTGCTTAGCAAGTGTAGGGAAGAATGGGTGAATGGGTTTACTGAGGGATGAACCAGCTGAATGGTTGGGAGTGGGGCCTGGTGTTAAGTCTTTTAAGAATAGGAACCATAAAATGGTGCTTCACCCTATGTGGCATATGTACTGGATTTGGCCCTTATATTCCACTTCCTGAGTCAGCCTTTCTAGCTAGCCCCCCTCATTTTGTGCTTAGATGACTGACGGTGACCAAACTAGTCTTTCTGTGCCTTGGTGCTCTCTATTCTGCCTCAGCCTTGCACCCTGCCCCCCATCAATACTCTCTTCCACCCCAAATTATTCCTGCCTCAGGGTTAGTCCAAACTTCCCAATGCTCTGCTTTTGCACATTCTTCTTTCAAGAATCACAGGGATGCTTTACTCTCTTGAATCTTGCTCTTCCAGCCACCCTAGAACCTGGCCTCACTGGCCATCCCTACTACTTCCTACTCCTCCCCACTGCTCACTATTCTACCATCAATCCCATCTCATTATTAGCTAACATTCAGTCCTACTGCTACCTTTGCTAATGCCAGGCTCCCTTCACAAAAGACTAGAGCATCTCCATAGCCTGGAAATATAATTTTACTGTTGAGGTATCTACACAGAAAATAATCTTCCATGTATTTAATCAATAATTTATTGCTATGTCTTTTGCTGTTCTACTATGGAAACAACCTCAGGTTCGCCTCCATGTTAAAATCAACATTTCTAGATAAAAAAGTTTTGCCTTTAGTAAAAAATTACCTAATGGACCTTATATAAACTTTGCTTCTGAAAAAATAATAGAAGAGCCTGATATTTTAAAAGAAGCACATATAATTTTAATGCTATTTTATTTTAATTTTGAAGATTCTTTTGTCTGCTTTTGTTCTACGGTCTTAAATATGTCTTAATTTCTTGCTAAATGATTATTTTTTCCCTTTCTTTAACTCAGACCATTTAGAAAATTCATTTGATGAAGTATTGAGGGGGTCTAATTGTTTAATGGGCAGAAATTAGTCCCTGTAAGAGTGCTTTAAAAACTGGCAAATACCAGACATAATTACAAATTCTTTAGAAGAATCTATTTCTGTACAATAGGTTAATTGGTTATAAGTAGATAGTGCTGGCCACAATTTAAACCAAGCTTCTAATTTCATCCATGACTTTTTTTTAACAAAATAAGTGGCTAATTGTGATCAAATTAGTCCCCTTGAAGGAACAATTGGCTACTTATCCCTGATTTTCAAGATGTAAGTGGTCTAACGCACCTGCAATTACCTTCCCTAAGGCATACTGCCTACAGATACAGAGTTATTTACCAAAGTTGTCATAGCCTGGTCTCATGATGGGAACTCTATAATCAGATGACCAGTATATAGTTTAGATTATAGTGATTTCTTTAGAAGAATCAAGTTAATTTTTAAGAAAATTTAAGACAAAACAAATAGATTTGCCTAGCAGGAAAAATTAGTTTGGGGCCATTGATCTGGATAACTGCCTCAACTCTCTAGACTTCCAAAATAGAGATGGTTTATACACTTATGTGATTGTGGAAGGTACTTACTCTTCTTTACATCTTTCTATTTTAGTGGTGCAATCTATGCATTGACTTGGTAGCATTCACCGGTGAAATATTCAAGGGGGCAGTTTTCCAGTCATTGGATGGAATTGTTGTCTCAGCTAACTGTAAGCTACGGAAGATCTTCACCTTAAAATCAAAGCCTCAAGACACTGATGATAAAGATGGTATGTACAAGTTGCTATCAAGATGTTTGAATTCTATGATGTGTTTTTTAAATTAGCCATGCTTTGGGGATAGCTTGGTTGTGTGGTAGCAGTTTGATTTTATGTCTGCTAAAATAAATTTGTCCACAGTCATGTTCTGGATCAAATGTTTATGTTTACTATAGCTGAATATCACAAAATGTAGTAAGTTTTCTTTTTGTGGTTGTTTTTGTTTATGGTAACACTAGTTGCAAACAACAGAATCCTTTTTAAGTGATTGAAAAAGAAAAGGAATTTACTTTAGGAAATTAGCCAGTTCATACTATCTCAAGGATATCTAGAGAGTCAGGCTTAGAGCCTATAGTCAAGAAGAAATCCAGGCCCTACCATAAGACTCCACCAGGAATGATCCTCCCATAGCTACCACCACTGTACAGAAACTCCATAAGTCACATGAGAATGCTGGGCACTAGGTTTCAGGATTTCTATTTCAGCAGCCCTTGAAAGCAGGATGTTTTCTTCCCTGCCCCCCTCACCCGAAGTATATTTATTCTTCTTCTTGTTTGTCTCTACTGAGCAAAGTTTGATGTGGCTCTTTCTGATTAGTGGAACCTGGATTATATATTGCAAGGGAGGCTGGCAAAGCCAATGTCTGCTCCCCGACTAGGGAGCCAGGTCTCATTGTGTAGGAAATTCACCAAATTAGAAAGGGTGTGCAAAAGATGTTGGCCATCCAATAAGCTCTACAGTTGTCTGCTATACTGTATTATTACTCTGTATACATTTCATGAAGTCATATGGGAGAAATTATATTAATTTTCTAGTGATTGTGTTAAAATTAAAAAACAATTGCGTTCTTCCTCATATAATTTCTAGAAGGACTAGAAATATAACATTTATTGTCCATAATTTGATTTATAAATATA